CTTTGGAAACTCGAGGTTGACATCTTCTGCGATTCCAGTGCGAAACTCTTTGAAACGCTGAAAATGAGAGAAGTTTCCTCCTTCCAGTTTTGCTTCAAACAATGATAGCTTTCTCCGAAATCCTTTGATGATTCTGTAGAGATCACAGATAAGGTTATCCTTTCCCTGAACTTTCAAGTTCAATTCATTCATGTGGGTTGTGATGTCAACCAAAAATGACAACTTTGACAGCCAGGTAGGATCTGAAAGAAGTGGATCAGCTCTATCCTTTTCTGTGAGAAAAATATCTATTTCTCTTCGGAGCTTATAAAACGAAACAGGACTTTACCGCAGCTGAGCCACCTCACTGCTGTGTGATAAGGCAAGTCACAGAATTCAGAATCAATTTCTTCAAGAAAAGCCTGGAACTGGCGGTGATGAAGTGCATGACCCCGAATGAAGTTCACCGCAGAAACGACTGGTTTCAATACGCAAGAAATATCTAAGTCTTTCCCACAGAGTGCTTGCTGATGTATATTGCAGCGTATAAACAGAGCGCCCGGGAGTTGAAGATCTTCCAACTTAGTTCGTATCTGCCCCACCAGATCCTTCCTCACTCCAGCCATGTTTTTTCGTCCATCAACTATAACACATCGAAGCTGAAGTTTATCGCCTTGCAAAGTTTTCTGCACTTCCATGAAAATGTCTTCTCCAGTTGTTGTTCCGTGCATGCTGTGATCTGAAAGTCCAAATTAACACCACGAATGAATACGAGAAGTTGTGACGTACTCGAGAGATCAGTAAACTCATCCAGCGCCAGAGAATACCACAAGAAGTCCCTAGCTTTCTCGCGTATCTGTAACACTATGTTCTCTCCAAGTTCTTCTGTTCTCCGCACAACTGAACTTGCTGAAAGGCTGATACTTCCAAATAAATTGGCTTTCTCAGGACACAAGTCATTTGCTGCTTCCATCATACACTCTTTGATGAAGTTGCCGTCAGTAAACGGTGTTCCTAGCTCTGCCATCTTATGCACTATTTTGTAACTTGTACGAGTGAAAGATTCATTTTCAGCAAACATTCTCGTGAAGAGATTCCAAAGTACGTTTCATGAATTCAAATTTCTCAGAACGCAACTTTCCAGAAAACTTCGAATATGTTGACAAATGTTTTGTTTCATAGTGACGCTGAAGATTGTACTCTTTCAAAACGGCAACACTTTCGTTGCATATCTTGTAACTAGCTTTCTGGTTGTTTGTTTCCACAAAGAAGTACTTTTCTCCCCATTCTTCACTGAAAAGGCTACACTCAGCATCTACTTTTCTTTTCTTAGTAGCCATAACGATGAGTGAAGAAAATAGGATCTGAAAATGAAAAACAATTGTTTATTTACACATTGAATAGTCTACCAAAAATGTTTTAGAAAAATAATAATTTTTTGACATGTGTATAAACCTGACAAACTAAAT